TTTTCAGCTTATTAAAAGACAAAGCCTGAAATGACAGACATGTTTATGAAGACAATTACACCCACCAATTTACAAGAACTGTTATTGGTAGCAGAATTGTATCAGCATCAATGAAGAAATTGTACAACATAAATTTTTTGCAAGCATTGCTGTTATCTATATCACCATCCGTTTTTTTTTTACAATGATGTTCACTCTGTACAAAACTACTCGAGGTAGAGGGTTATAGAGCAAGAGGCGTAGTTTATGGGGATATGCGAAGAAATATAATGGTTAATGCTAAACTTGAACAGGTTAAGATTGTAGTGATCGGGGAAGTATCTTCTTGGGAGCCAGTTTCATAAAGCAGTGCTTTGTGAAAAGAAGCTGCTCAAGTGGAACTTACACCTCACCAATGGAATATGAAGGGAATGTGAGTGGTTTGCTACAAGGAGCATGACACGGCATGTCTTAGACATGAAAGTTAGAACTGATGGAACAAAGAAATTTAGTTCGGCTGAACACTTTCCATGGAAATAACAATAGAGCAGCAAGAGGCTTGTGAATGTTTTGTCTATTGGAGGGGGTTTGTAGAGCAAAAAATAATTTGCCCCTGCCCTGAGGACATGTAAATACTTTTGGATTCTGTTGAGACTGGAAAGTGAAGACTGGGCAGCTTCTGCCAGAATATGGCAGCAGTACTCCATTTTCAGCCTGATCTGGCTCTTGTAAAAGTAAAGGATAGCAAGAGGAGTCTGCTACTTACTGGATCAGTACAGGGAACCAACCATTTTTCCAGTATCTTTAGTGATGGACCATATGTATGAGTTCCACTTGAGGTCTAATCAGCACTCAAGGCACAGGGCCTATCTAAGAGAACACCCATTCATCACAATAGATGAAAATTCAAGCTCTTCACCTTTTGTTGCTTCACAAAAAATGTGACTCCTACTCAATTAAGTAAACTTGCAGATAATCTAAATACCTTTATTGAATAGAAACAAGGGGAAATAGAGTCATAGATAAATGTAGTAAAACTACACAGTATCTACAAAAGAAAGGATGTAGAACTCACTGAGGCAAGAATGTATAGTGATAGCAACAAATACATTACTAAATAATCCCCAACCCTTATTACTAGACTATATAGTAGTCTGGAACCAAAATAATAATTAATAATAAAAGTTAAGCAATAAAAATACAGATAAGAATGGTAATTAACAATAAAGAAAGAAAAAATATAGTTAAATAAATATAGAATACTCCCATGATGCATCAGAACAAGCATTATGCTGCCAATTGAAACATAAATCAAACTTCTCTCTCTTCATTTTTGATGGTCAAAGTCAAAGGAGGCAGACATCCAGGACAGTTCTCTGATAGAACATGTTGCTAATAACAGACAAGCACAACATTTTTATCTCTGTATACATATATGTTCTTTAAAATATACAATTATTTCTCTGAAATATATATTAAAGCATGTTATTGTTTTGTCTATACTTATTGTGTTGTATCTTGTATATGATTTGTTTGTAATTTTTATAATTCCATTATCGGCTGATGATGTCTTTTTAATGCTCAAACAAAATTACATATATAAAATAAAGAAGTACATTCAGACAAGGGCAACACATCACCAAAATAACCTATGGCAAACATAGAGAGACCTTGGTTTAAAGAGACCAAGAGACAAATAACAAAGTTGCCACCTCTTGTTCCTAGTGATCTAATTAGCTGGACTGCATGAAATCTGGAAGATTCTGAGATTTTGGAAATTGGTGCACAACTAGGAGCTACCAAAATAAAATTTGTTATTGATACTGGTGCTAGTATTTCTATATTACCAATTTCTCTAGAGAACAGAATTGTTTTGGACCCAATTCTTTTATAAATCTCATCTGTGAGAAAATAAAATGTCAAAAAACAAGTGAATATGAAGATTGAAATTCATGGTTTAAAAAGAGTTTCCCAATGGACTTTAGTGATCGTTGATTAAATTTTTATTGGGCTTTGATTTTTTAAACACTCATAGCTTAAAGATAAGCTGTAAAAATAAAACAATACAAGAGACTATTAAAGAAATGAAAATTAATTTAGATGTAATTCTGTTTTCAATAAATTTAATTCTAAACAATGTTATTCTTCCTCCATTTGTAAGTGAATTAATAACAAAAGTGTGGTTCTTAAGATTTTCATAATTGCTGGATCCAGTGACTCTTTTAAACCAATGTTAGTATAATTTGTGGCATTCCAAATTCAAAGAAAGATGATGTGTCCAAAATTAACTGATTGTCCTTGAATTCAGAATGCCACAAATTATACTAATGTTGGTTTAAAAGAGTTGAATGCATGTGATACATGATTGACCAATGAAAATCAGGCAAAACAAAAGTAAAAATACCAGAATTTCTTTCTTTTCTTTTGCATATCTCAGTCTCTGATGAAGCTTTAATAAAAGTGAAACATGTTAGATTGATAAATGTTTCCTATTTGAGGAGGAGGTATATATATATATATATATATATATATATATATATATATATATATATATATATATACACACACACACACACACACACCTTTCTAATCACAATGTCCATGAGCATGAATTCCTGTTTGTCATGGTTTAATAATGGGCAGAATTTTGCCCCTTCACTAAATTTCTCTTTCCAAACTTGTTTATGTAAATGTTGCCGTATTGTCTGGGAAGCAAGATGATCCATCATCTCACACTGAAAGTAAAAGTCTACTTAAGGATTCTTATTTTTAATTATTAATGAATGAAGAAAAAAGTCAGTTTATTAAAGAGACCGAGAGACTGATTATTCACCAAATCAGACCTTGTTTGCATTAAACTGATTTGCAGTGACGATAATTACATTTAATTACTCTCAAACTTACATATTTTGACAAATTAATTGCATTTACAGTTGTTTTTACATAAATCAAAAGAACTTTCATATACAACTTCATTTGCAATTAAAACACCAAAATCTTAATCATGTGACAAAAAAACTTCTTCCATCCTGAATGACACAAGTACCTTTTTACAACCACTATGGCAACATTTATACACAAACTGACAGTGTTGCGATAGAGTCAGTCAAAGAGTCAAAACTATCTAATAACTCTTCAATAATTCCACCAAGCCCCTATATATATACTAATATTCACATACCTCATTCCTTTATTGGCTCTTGAACCTTGTATTTGGTGAACTTTATTGAAAAAGAAAAAAATACATGCCCATTTATATAAACGTTCTTAAAAATGATGTTCACACTGTACAAGGCTCGAGAGCTACTCAAGGTAGGGGGTTACACAGTAAGAGGCACAGTTAATTGGGATATGTGGGGACAATAAAAGCTGACCCTAGACTTGAACATTTTAAGATTGTAATGATTGGCAAAGCATCCTCTTGGGAGTCAGTTTCATAAAGTAGCTATTTTTTGAAATGATAAGATGTTTATTATGAAAATATACATATATAAAAATTAAGTTACCTTTACGTACAATATCTTTCTTGTCTAAATGCAAATAAATTGGACTTTTAAATCTTAAAACAATTTTTGAGATATTATGTCTGTGGCTAATTGCCAATGCCACTATAAATACACTGTGGAATTTCTTGAAGTCAAGTTTCTGAAAATACTTTAAAATCTAAAATTGCGAATTGATTCATTTGAAGGGTTGTCATGAGAGGAAATGTCACAGTGAATTCAGTCATGTTTTAGTCGGTGTAAATTTAAAATATGTATATATGATATATGGTGACCTTTTTACTGATATCTTTTTTTGAGGTCACCAATGGTCACCGGAAAAAAAGATCGCACTAACTCATGTGTTGAAATGGGATGGTGTCAATAATTTTAACGTTTTAATCACGACAAAATAATACAATAGCGTTTTATGATAATTTTATTTTATTTACTTTTTGTGTATGGGTGGAAAATGATGGTGGTAGTAGTATTGAGAGGGCAAGGATCTTCCATTTTCAAAAAAGAGGAACACCATACTGATTTAGCTGTCAAAAAGTACGAAGTAAATATATGGATTGTTTTCTGCTTTCAACGGATATTGTTTGATCTGTTTTCCTGGGACTGGCTAGCAAATTGCACAAATGAAAAGCACAGCCACTGATAAATCTATTATTTTGTTTGTAATGTCATGACAAGACAGATATCTGTGTGGGAATGTGAACATAAATAAAGTAAATAATGCAAATAAAAATAACATGCCTGCTCTAGGAGTAAACTATAAAGGCAATGACAAATAATTGTACAGGCTGAATTTAATATTATATACATATAAAAAAAATATCAAAATCACTTTTTCTTATTCAAAATCAAAGATATTCTACAGAAACACACCACAAGAAGTATTCATTTTTTTCAAACTACTATCGAATAAGCATTACACCCACCATACCATTTAGATAGTAGCAAACCATCTACATTCCCTCAGTATTCCATTGGCAAGAAGTAAATTCTGCTCAAACAGCTTCTTCCTGCAAACCACTGCCCTATGGAACAAACTCCCAAGAGGATGTTTCCCCCACAATCACTACAACCTTAACCTGTTCACGTCTAGAGTCAACCATTACCTTCCCCTCCTATCCATATAAACTATTCTTTAACTTAACCCTCTACTTCAAGTGGGCTCTGAGCCTTGTACTGGCTCATGAATATAAAAAAAGATCACGAATATAAAAAAAAATTAAATAAATTACAATTGTTTTTTTTAGCAGCATATCAACATCTATGTGTTATTTAATGCCGAAATCTAAATATTTTGTATGTAATTTTATTTTATATTTTTACTTTTTGGGGAGATAATTGGTTTTAGTTAGTACTAGAAGTCTTACTAATTAACCTATAGCTGAGGGAGAAGTGGTGGATTCATACCTTCCCAAGGGTATTTCTGCATAAGTGAATATATTGAACCCAACTGGAATTGGAACTCAACTTTCCGATTAACAATTCCAAGCCATTATCCATTACACCACCTGCACATTCAAGCTTACAGCACCTGGTATTCCCAAGTGGTCACTTATCTAGGTACTGACTATGCTCAGCGTTGCTTAACTTTGATGATTGTATGGGAATCAGTGAGTCAACATGATATGGCCAATAAAATATGGTCAATAAAATAAAATAAAACACTTCTTAACATTTTCTAAATTTTAAAAGGCATTTTTTCAGAATTTATGTAAATTCATTGAAAACTGATCCCCACTACAGAAACCGAAAACAAAAATATGCTTGTATCAAATAATAACACATATTCTTACAAAATATCAAATAATTTCAAATTAAGATATAGTCCTGGTTATGACAATAAACTATGGCAACACACCTGATCAAAAGATTAAAGGTTTTAAGGAGCGTGAAATTACCTCTTAATTGCTGGTGTTCTCAGGCTCACCCTGATCCGGGGTGGTTGCATCTGTTAGGGTCCCAGCTATGGGCAAATAGTGAACCACCAAACAAAACAAAACAAAACAAAACACCATGAAAGTATAAAAATACATTTTTATAATAAAAATACCAGCAATACATTTTTCTATAAAGAAAATTGCCAACAATACCTATTTATAGTAAAATGACCAACAATACATTTTATCTCTAATTCAAGGCATACAAAATATTTTGATTTTGGCATCAAATAACTCAGAGGTTGATATGCTTCCAAACAAAACCAACCAAATTAAAATAAAAAAAATTTTATATTTAAAATATATTCTTCATTACCTCTTTCGTGTTGTGTTAACATAATACTTTACATAGAAAATTTCAAATGTTCACAAAACAGCTGCACAATATGAATCTAAATTTCTTATTTGCCTTTATTATTATTTTTATTATTATTAATACTTTTACTTTTGACATGTGTAGAGGGAATCAATTTACAATAAAGTTCTATAGCAAACTGCAACCACCCATAAAATTTAGTAAATTAAAAAATATATATATTTGTGATCTGGAGAGTTTAAATATGAAAAATATTGAAACAAATGATTATTCTTGGAGAGGTGTGTTTCTAGAATTCAAACTCGGTTCTCCGATTCCTCAGTCCGAGCCACTATCCATTACTCCACTGTGCCTCCTTTGTTTAAACACCAACATGTTAATATTTTGTTATAAATGGAAAAAAAAAAACAGTTTATGAAGACGTGAAATTACTAAAAACTTGTGTTTCAGGATACTTCTAACACTCACTAGCTGACATTTTAAAAAGCAGTATTAAAGGATAAGACAAAAATACACTCTCTCTTCTTTCTCACTCCATCTACAGGATGTTGTAGTGACAAGACATATCTCATTTCCCTTCTGGGAGACTTTTTAATCTTCGAATCAAATGTTGCATTGCACACAACACAATACTATCAATGCACTATCTCATGTTCAAAAAATAGTCCCACAACAATAATATCTCCACTACAACCTATCACATACACAGGTATCTCCCTCCAATACAAAAAAATATGCCTGCTCAACAAACGAATCAATATTGTAACAAACTGATAATGTAATGTCGTTACAAATTTTTCAAACAAAGATGTTTTCAGTCCCGGTTGGAAGTTCGTAGTTTCTTGAGTAATGATTTTTTTCTCTTCTGCGATATGTTACATCTAGTTTTGTATATAAATTGTGAGTTACACTCACTTGGCTTTACCAGGTTTGCCAAGATGCTGTTTTGCTGTTAAACAAGTATAAAAATGTGACATTTTCTCTTCTTTCTTCTTTTTTTCCTCTTTTCCATCTAGCATAAGGTAGTGAAAACACAAACACGGAATCTGTTCCCAGCATGGGGTTATCTTTCCCCTTAGTGACTGAACTCTTTCATGCAAGCTTATACAGACACACATGATTCCCAATTGCCAAATTTAAATGTCATCTTTCATTCCGGTTATATTTACATGCATACTAGTAATGTATTTTCTCTCATTTGTTAATCAGTCAATTGTTATATAAAAACATATGAAAGTGTTGCCTTGTTGAAATTTATTCCATTTCATTTCACTTCTACAAGTAATGACGACCCGTCATTTATATGCGTAAATTTTGGTTGTCACTGCTTTTAGTCCTACTAGAAGCACGTGCCTCAAATAAAATATACATGAAATTCATTTATGTGCTGAATTCATTTATTTTGAGATTTTAGCTGGAATTTTCTACTGAGTTTTGCTAGGGGATTCACAGTCTAAACAGGCCTCCATGATAAACTACACCCAGAAGTTTTCTTATTTAACATACAAAATACTCCCACTATTTTAAAAAAATTTAATGATTAAAATGACAAATATTTATCTAATAAAAATGCAATATTGTTATTTGCATATCTTTTCTTTAAAAAAATAATTAAAAGAATTTATTGAGCATTTCAGAAATTATCCGTTAATATATAAAATGTTTTTTTTTTCAGTTTTAGTTTTATTTTAATTTTGTAGGAAATATTTTTAGGTCTGTCATGGAATTAAAATATACATGCGCACACTCAAATGTACATACACAGTTTGAATGAAATTGAAATGGACACCTGTTTTGCAATAGTTAATTTCCATTTCTGTCAGGCAACAACCCATGGGTAACAGGAAAATACTATAAGGCAAAGTATGCAACCATTTAAAATCATTTTTACAACTCATGTATTTAAACTGAATATATCTTCTAATAAATATTGTTTATTAAATAGACAAACAATTCAGATTTGAAATGTGATTTTTTCACCAGTGAAGCACAGATACCAAACTAGTCTAAACAAATTAAGACAGGATGTTTTATTTATCTCTGAAGAAATGAAAAGCTGAAAACGTTGAAATAATGAGAATTCTTCCTCACATGTGTGATGTATTCCTTCAGGATGTTAGACAATCATGGCTCTCCCCAACTACCTTTCTTTCTTTTGTAGCTCTAAGTAAGGTTCACCTTTAAACTATCCCTCCTAATACCTGTTCTGCCAACCATTTATAGAAGCTCATTAAGTAGATTATTCACTGCTTTCCTCTGTCCTTCTTGCCTTCAATATGTCCTGTGAGTGTCAAATTCTCCATGTTCTCTTTCCTCATGTGCCCTAGAAATTTCAATGGTCTTTTTTCTGATTCTAAGTAGTATTGTCCTTTTTGTCTTCATTTTCCTTAAAACTTCATTGTTGCTTCACATGTTCACTCCATGGTATCCTCAGCATCCTTCTGTAGAACTACATTCCTGTTGCCTTCAATCTCTTCTTCATCTGTGACAAGATTGTCCATCATTCACTGCCATATAAGAGGACTGACATTACATAACAGTTCAGTACTCTTTTCTTCGTTTCTAACAGGATTTTCCTGTTCCATAATATTTTATACATTCATGACTTTCAATATCATTAATACAGGGTGAGGCAGAAAGGACAAACATTTTTGAAATGGCTATTATTCAGCCCCAGAGGGAGGGACAGATGTCCTACAGGGACCATTCAGTCCATGGTGTCTTAGCATTTTTCTATTTCTTTTCTGTTGAAGCCATGGCACTGTGGATGATAGAACATCATGTGTTCACTTACAACAGTTTTGTGAAGAATAACGAGTTTGTGACAGCATTTCGACATTTATTGAAATCAGGTCACTTTCACTTGTAACACAATCTTATGCTGGATTTGTACACTTTGTACACAAGGTACACTAATGAATAGCAGACTGGTGGGGGCCCCACAAATGGTACATACCCAAGAAAATGTGAAATGTGTCAGACAAGCTTTGCTGCACAGTCAGAATCACAGTGCTAGGAAGCAGGCTACTGAACTTAGCATCGATAATCATTCAGTAATGTGTATTTTGCATGAAAAACTGCATTTCCACCCCTACAGATTGATCAATAGGTTACAGTTGAGATCAGGGGACTATGCACAGCAGCTTAAACTTCGTACGTCAGATGGAAGCAATTTTTGAGGTAAATGACAACCTCATTTTGTTAATAAATGATAAAGCTTATTTTCACATCAGTGGTATAGTGAATCAACAGAATTGTCATTATTGGGCTATTAAAAATCTGAGAGAATTGTATAAAAGACCACTGCACTGCCCAAAAGAGATGGTTTGGTGTACTGTTGGAAAAGCTGGCTTCATTGGTCCTTATTTTTTTGAAGACCATAATGGAATGGCTGTTACTGTGAACTCCAAATGTTACATCAAGGTGATAAACAACTTCTTTATACCTGAATTACAACAAAAACATATTCCTATCTGATGTGTGTGGTTCCAGCAGGATGGGGCAACAGCCAGACCATTAATGGATGTTCTTCTCCCTCTCTTTGTTGACCACCTCATTTCCATATTCCTTGGACTCCTTGGTCCTCTGATTTGTCCAGGTGTGATTATTTCTTGTAGGGAGACCTCAAGGCATATGTGTATGAGTATAAGACCCGTACATTGAATGATTTGAAGGAAGCTATTCCTGTGGAAGTCAACCAAATTGAAAGAGGCCAGGCCAACTTCCAAGAATGCCTTCAGAAATACATCAATAAAAATGGATGCTACATGAGGGGTGTTGTTTTCCACACTTGATTTTGTCAAATGCTAATTCAGTATGAACACATTGATTCCAATAAATTTCTTTTGAAGCTAAAATTAATGATGTGAATTTTTCAAAAACATCCATCCTCTCTGCCTCATGCTGTACAATATAATACATCAATTAACTTGGCATAGTGACTTCATTTCATTCAAAATTGGAGAAAACAGACAAATTTGAAGTTTTAGAGAAAATGGAAACAAAAAGGGGCACACATACTTAACATCAGAAAGGAATAGTTGAAATTTCTAGGACACATAATGAGGAAATAGGGCTTGGAAAATTTAACACACACAGGACATATTAAAGGCAAGAAGGACAGAGGAAAGCTGCCAATAGCAAACTTGTGTAAATGACTTGCAGAAGAAGGATTAATATATATAGTGAAAAAACAAAATTTACTAAGCGCTACAATGGACAAGAAATTGGAGAAAGCTAATGAAAAAGTTGGATATGTTTCTTAGCTGTGAAACTGTTTGCAGAGTTGTAAGCTGCAAGTCTGGGGTCATGTGCGGGCAAAAGTTCAGTATTTGTTTTTTATGTTGCATGTTGTCAAAAATCTTGCTTTATACCAGAAA